ATCTTATCTCATCTTGCTTATTAGAGTGATTGGCCAGAAGGTCCTTTCATGCTCCTTTTTTAATGTTACATCTAGTTGCTATTTCTTCTAGATCCTTCACATTAATTACTTACATCTGGGGATCGGAGGGAGGGGCGGGGCGGAGAGATCAGGCCACCATAAGTGAATTGTGATCTAAATTTCTAATTTCCCAGATTTTGAGGGTACTTAAACTCATTATACTAACCATGTACAAATATGCAATCTTCAAAACAGCTAAGTTCTTACTTAGGCACCAAAATAACACCCAGATTTTTTAAAGAATTCAGCAGACTGAATTCTGAATTCTTTTGAAAACTAGATGAGGACTATCAAAATGGAAGCTGTCGGGGGCCAAACAAAAATTCTGGCCACAATTGTTGGGCACTCAGCACATGAAAACATGGCCCTGAGATCCTTTGAAAACCTGGTCCTGTGGGCCTCATCCATTGACCTGGTCTACCTTAGGGAATTATTTCAAAATAACTTCTCTTATTTCAAAATAACAAGCAGAACGTCCACTCTACTAAACCCATTATTTTGAAATAGGGGGCTGGTTATTTTGAAATAATAACTCCTGCTTTCCACGAGGAATAACACTTATTTCAAAATAGTTATTTTGGGAGTTATTATTTTGAAATAATTTCCCTGTGTAGACATTCCCTGAGAGACTTCCATTGTTTGCAGTGGGCTTTGGATCAGGCCTCAATTTTTTTTATTGTTATTATGAGTAGCAACTGATATTTGGGCCCTCCCATTGTACAAGGCATTGTACAAACATACCATAAGTAACAACTCCATCCCTGAAGAGCTCACAGACTCAGAACAGGTAGACAGAGGGTGAGTGAATAAGAAAGGCAAGATGATGGAGGCCATAAAAGGTCAGTGGTAGAATCAAAACAAAATCCAGATCTCCTAAATACCACTCCAATATGCTATACAGAACCAGACTACTTAGATGTAATCCACATACCTATGCATTTTCTAATCAGTTTTCACTTATAAAGAAAGGAAAGTTGTAGATTTTGCTATTAAATGAGCCACAGAAATATGTGGGCAGGACTATTTCCCCTTTTGCCAATATGTTGCTGTTACCTCAGATCTAATTTTTTGTTCATTGTTCAGAACAGACCACCACCACTGAGGCTGTCACTTCACATACCCTCCTCACCCGCACATGACTAAGCAGCTGCTGGAGTCAAGTAGTTCCATCTTCTATCAATGTTTGTAAACCACAGTGTTTTAAAAAGACACAAGCAGAAAATAATCTGGTACACAATCGTTACTTGATTTTTTACATATGTGTAGACAAAATAAGTACATTAGATCTCTAGCCTTTAATTAAAAATAGTTTAAGGGAAGAAAAAAATAATGTCTTAATAAATAACATCTGACCAAGTACTATGTAGTGGATCATACCCAAAGTGTGGCCAAAAAAAAAATACAGCAAGTAAATCATTATTGCTATCTGAGTCTAAATAGCTTCCATCTGATTTATATATGAAAATACACTTCATAGAAGAACAGTCAAAAACTTCAAAGGCAATGCAGGATGCTGCTAATTTCTGTATCTGACAATGTGATGCAGTGTTTGGATTTGCATCTGTACACTTCAAAGTGTCGTGCTCACAAAAAAATAGGCTCCATTTATTTTGACATGGATTTACAGAGGTGAACAAGAATTAAGCACCCAAAACAGACATTTGGGAAAAAAATCTGGTTGCTGCTCTCTAAATTCAATAACTCTGTAGAGAATTGAGGATTACAACAAGAGTGCAAGTTATGGCTGTGGTACTTCAAGTAATCTCCAGTGACCACCATCCAGTGTCAACATATGGTACTCAAATGTAGATTTAGAATTTCTTTGAAGTAATATTGAATCTGACTAAAGGGGTAAAATGTAGATCTAGCATTTTAACATATTGAGATTGTCAAAATTTTGAACTAGGGCAACTAGAGATTAGTGCATCTTTAGCCTGTGAACTACTTAGTGTTTCTTATCTAAAAATTGCCACCAAGATGACTCCGATGGTTTGTCTTACTTTTGTCTAGCTGACTCTCATGGGAGCCTACAGAGCATGGTATAGAAGCATTTATCCAAATCACCGTACATGAAACAGTCATATATCTTATATACATACACACGTATAATGTCACAGATTAACAGATAACATTAATAATGTAGTGTAAACAAGCCACATCAAAACAAGTTTACTCACTTTGCTAAAACGTATCTCATACAATGAATTCCTCAGTTGCTCTTGTTTCCCCCTGTGTTCAACATCAAAGTTTTTTCAGATAGCAACAGCTGCTGACCAGAAACATAAATATTAATAATAAGATTTATTTATTATTATTGATGCACATAATTGATGCTTAACTAATACTTGAGACAAAAATGAACCTTCAAGCAGTTCAAAGAATAGAATTCTTCAAAAGTGTAAGTCTCAAGGTGAAAATTCAGAAATAAATTACAGCTATTTAGAAATATTACAATATTTTAGAGTACTGTACCTGGGTTTAGCATGCCTAAAAATATTACCTACCATTACAATTTCTACTTGATGTAGTACTGTCAAGTATTACATACATAGCTATCTACTGTCCTTATAATTAATTTTGCATAATATGCCACAACATTAAAAAGATTGCTTTTGTATTTAATTATCTTTTTGATTTAAATACGTTAAAAAGAAAAGAAAAAACCCTATCAAAGCTAACAGGACTCGGAAGATTTGAGAAGTAAATATCATATGCATATTTTTAGTTCCCAATTCAGCAGGGAACCAAGAGAGTATTTTGAAGCTTGATTAAGGAAGTTCAGTCCCTCCAAAATCATTCTTTCGGATTTAAAAATGTCATATTGTACGTGTGTGTATGAATAAATACACACACACATACATACACACACATGCTAAAATAAACAAAAAAATAGAGAGTTTCACTTCCTAGCTCAAAAGGCCAAAATCAATTACTGTGCTGTGATTTTGAATTCAAGTATCATCCAGCTTTTTTGTTCACTCTTGTTCATTGTCTTTTGATTGACCGATATATATTGTATATTATTTCTAAAAGGCCTAATCTTTTAATTCTTTAAGCAGGCAACAAAAAGGTCAGTGGGAGTTTTGACAGAGTGAATCCTGTAGGATTTGGACCATATTGAATTAGAAACCTATATAATTCTAAATATTTTCTCAATTATATAGAATTCTTACATGCTTAAGGAACTTGGTATGAAGAATGAATCTCAGAGCTTAAATGCATCTTGCATCTGGATTGTAGATTTTGCCCTTATATTAACTAATCTGCAGTTACTGGGAATGTGTATATCCTTTACTGAGAAAGTATGATTCATTTCATAGAAATTTTCATCTGCTATTAATCTTTCAGGATATAGTTAGTGTTCTGATATTTTCAGATATTGTTTTATGGAGGGATTTAAAGTAGCTCTCCCCTGGCAGCCTGCAAGATTACTCAGTGATTATAAGCAACTCAATACTGTATGACAGCATTTCCATGCAAGGGACTTACAATCATGTTTCATTAATTCAGCTTGAATGAAGCCTCATTTCAGGCCTTGAGGAGCTTAAGATTTATGTGAAATTAATAACATAACAGATGTCTTCACAATTTGGTTCCTCTGAAAAAAACTGATTACTTTGAAAACTTCAATGCTTGAAAATGCAGACTGAGGGAGTTTTTACTCTAGGGTAAAGAGTTATTCGTTTATATCATCCATATCTCAGAACTAAGTGGAATTTAAATGTCAGATTTATATTAAATAGTCATATTCTCCATTATTATATGTAATAAACAAAAGCCTATTACTTTCATTAATAATCTGTGTTGGACATTTAAACTAAATCTTAGAGAGATAAAGTCAGAACCTTTGATAAGCAGTAGGAGTGAGAGAGACACAAGGGAGCTAAAGGAAGAATATTCAGGAAGCCCCTTTTTTATCTTTGTTTCTGATAATTTAATCATTTTTCCTCATAGGAAAACAAAATGCATCTGTGCTCACACAAAACTCACCACTTTATAAAAGAGTTGAAGCTGTCTCCTGTGAACGCACATGCCTACGGCCAAATGCCTTTTTTTTCTTCCATAGGACACTTTAAACACTGGCTGCTCTTTTTTTTTTTGAGTTCCAAAAATTAAATTCTTTTATCTAGGTTTCAGCCATAGTAGGTGTGTTGCAAGCTGAATTTTAACATACTCATGACCTGGAGTTTATCTTTAAAGAAACTGACTATGTGATTACTTTGCTGTGTTCAAAAAAATTGAAATAAAAATTCTCTTAGCCTTGCTTTTTGATCCGATCTGCTGAAGGGCACAGGGAACAATGCATTTTTGATTCAAATACTGAAGTACAGCTGATAGGAGAGTCACTGTGATGGCTCGATATGCAAATGTATTACATTAAGGGCTGGAAAGCTGACAGTGCAGGATATTACCGCTAAGACAATATCAGAGAAATCATAACAATTAGCTCTTTGATTGCTGCAGACACAGTTCATGCACCAGCCTCAATTTATAATGAGGTATCTCCCCATTTCCTTTCTTGTCTATCGCCACCCTCAGCATCGTGTCCACATGGATATGCCACCCTGCCAAGAAGCAAAGGCTCCAAGATAAAGATGAAATATCAAAAGCATTAGTATAAATTACAATTTTTTACATTATTAGCTATTTAATTACATGAGATATCAGAGTGGAGCTCACTGATTTCATGCTTATGTTAAAAGTTACCATGGCAGTATTCCGCCCTTCTGAGACGCCGTAAGGAGTTATTGTTAGCACATGCTAAAACAGACAAAGCAGTGTATTCTGGCTGCATTCTTTTTCTGAGTATAATACCAAGGAATTCCTTAGGCGCATAAAAAAGCACATGTCTGGCACTGGGCTGTGAACAGGGAGATGTGAATTTGGAGATAAACTCAGCATCCCAGGCCTTAGGCTAGCAGAGACTGTGCTGACTGTGGAGGTAACATGTCTGCTCTCCATGAGGGACCTCAGCCAGCTTTACCATGCATTAGCATCTCCGTGCCCCCCTCTATGCACCCAAAGGGATGGTGTTAGTGGTAGCTCCAAAAGCATCTGCTTATCAGCATACCCTGGAGAGAAGAAGCAGAAGGTGGCAGGAAGTTGCAAGGAAGGAGGGGGAGGAGGTCCAAGAAGAAAGGCAAATGTAATAAGGCATCTGCTGTATCCAGCTTCTCATTCAATCGTAGCCCCTGATCCAGCACATGCTTAACTTTGAGTGCATGCATAGTCTCATTGACTTCTAGGGGATACCCTAATGCATGGATGGGAAACCTCAGGCCTGGGGGCCGAATGAGGCCCTCTTCTTGTCTGGATCTGGCTCCCGAGGCTCAGAGCTCCCTCCCCCTCCAGCACTGGGGAGCCCGAGCTGACATTCTGCTCCCCCACCTTTGGTTTGGAGCACAGTATACTAGCCTGAACCCCACTAGATGTGGGGAGTGTCTTTTTCCTTCTCAGTCAGGGGCTATGGTAATGGGTTGGGTTTTTTTGCTTCTCACTTATGTGTGATCCCCGAGTGATTTTAGGTTCCTCACCCCTGCTCTAATGCACACAGTTTTGTACAAACTCACTGGATGAGAGCTAAAAGTGTAGTCTCTTAGGCTATGTCTACCCTGCACACTTATTTTGAAATAACAATGTACATCTACACAGCAAACCCATTATTTTGAAATAATTTTGAAATAATGGGCTTCTTACTCCGATTCCTCAATTCAGGAGGAGCAAGGGAAGTCAAAGGAAGAGTGTTCTTCCTTTGACCTCCTGCTATGTAGACAGTGCCAAAAGCCGAGTTAATGTACTTGGACTTCAACTACACAATTAACATAGCTGAAGTTGCTTATCTTAACTTGACTTTAGCCCGCAGTGTAGACATACCCCTAGGCATTTATTTTAAAGACAGAGGAGACTGGTATTTGTACACACAGAACCAAAAGCATTCAACTAACATCAGTTTTAACAAATGCTTGAGTTACTGACAGGAGGTTTTTCCATCCAACTCTCCAAGCTGCACTATAATCATTGTGTGCAAGCAACATTAGGTCAGGAATATTAAAGTCATATAAAATCTTCCTTCAGCCTATTGGAATTTTCCTAATTGGATTACATGGACTACATCACCATGTGTGGATTGAAAAGTTCTGAGTACAGTGTTAAGTACTGGGTATGTACCGGAGATCGTTTCCATTGGTCTTATATCCATGCATGGTTTATTCAAACAGGGACACAGACTCTGGCAGATGTTGTGACCTACTACATCAGAAAACCCTCTCCCCAGCTAAAATGCATTTGAAAGCCAAACTCAGAACATAAAGTGGACTAGTTGATTGACTCAGATCCTGAAGATAGCTAAGCTTTCCCTAGCTCTTTGCCAACAAAGCATTCTACCTTTGATGTGTATAGCATCTTTTCAGCCGGAAGTATCCTGGAGCACTTCAAAAGCTTCAAATATAAAGGAATCATTTTGCTAACCACTGAAATTTAGACAAACAGGACTGAAGGCTTTATTCTTCTTTTACTTCATCCCCCTCTTCAGTAAGATGGGTTTGTTTTATATGCTTCCTGAATTTTGGAATGTTACTGGGATGCAAAGAGAAAATCATACAACTATTACTGATATTTAATACAGTATCAGTTGGTGAGATCACTACCAGTAATGGGGAAGTCTCAGCTGATTTGTAGTTTTGACTCAGATTAGCACCCAAAAGTGGTTTTCTTGTTTGTTTTGTTTTTAAGGCCTCGAGCAAGCAAAATGTGGCTATACAGGGCTCTAATGATTGTCTCAGTTGAGTCACTGAATAGAAGGAAGATCTGGGTTCTTTTGTTCTTCTTGCCATTAATCTTTGGTGTCTATTGGCAATTTAAAAAATAAGGAGTTGTCTTTTTCATTTGAGCTAGTGATTCAAAACGCTTGCAAGTAATGAAAATCAAAATTTGTCACAGCGTGCAACTCCTGAGCAGAACTTTGCTCTTTTACATCAGTGGAAGTCCACAGTGTTTCTGTACTGGTCAGTGCAACTGTGAAACTAAATAGGAAGGGTCTAGGCTTGCAATTGTCTGGACATATTCCTGGAGATTTAATCACGACAGTCTTTAATTAAAGATTAATCTTTAATTCCTGAAGGAATGGCAAATCTAAATGGGTCTGAATATTTGTTTTAACTAAAATGAGACAAACTCAATAAAGCTGTGTACTAAACCTTAGCAAACCTTTATTTTACATGTGCTACTTCTCAATGAATGTCAGTACTATGAGTTAGGAGTGATCAT